TAAGGGAATGAGTGAAATTTTCATTTTCATGATATCATGTAATTCAACCTTGCCTTTGGGATAATTTAATTTTATGACTAGTAAGAAAGGAAACTCATTTAGTATCAATTTCATGATTTGTAGATTGAAAATATATTTTAAAAAACTAAAAGATAATATAGATTGTCCCATTTGCTTGACTGTGATTGAAAATCCTTTGATGTTTTTAATTTTAAAAATTATTTTATTTTGATGTGTATCGTATTTTCTTAATCATTAAATTAAGTCATTGTCCTTAATGAAAAAGCTAATCATTTAGGTTGTTTGGTTGATAATTGGTAGTTTAAGCAATTAGTTGCTTATTTCAAGCTAAACATGATTAGTTAAGAGACTAAGACTAATGAAATGAATAGCTATTGTAAGGAGGGAATATTTTTGTGGGGGCCCATTTAGTACAAAATCTCATGTGATGTGGAGCGCTAAGCACTGTGTTTTGTCCTCTCATAATTCAATGACCTCTATATTTCATCTAACTTTTCCCAGTTTGTTTCATCATAAAAAGTGTTTTATTTCTTTTATTATTTTTTCCTTAAAAAAAAATCAATGTTGGTGAATTTTTTATTTTTTAAATTCCATCTCATGAAGATGAAGATTATGTTTTTTTTTATTTATTTATTTATGTCATTTGGAACTTTATAGAAATTGTATTCCGTTATGAAAAAATCAGAAAGTTTCAATTCTAAATTTTACTTTTGGGGCATTTACATACATACCGCCCAATTCCTATGTATTTACATATCTAACACCCAAATTTGATTTTCTTACATTTATACCACTCAAATCTTTCATCTCACATTAAAAATGTCATTAAAATTTATTGAAAATTATATCACACGTTCAATAAAAAAAAAAAATTGAATATTATTCCATAATAAAGATAGTTAAATGTTCTGTCATTATGTAGATAAATTATTTGATGTATGATTCAAGGTTTTTTAAATTTTGTGAAACTTGGCATTCTATAATTATATTGTGGTGATATCGATTTCTCAATTCATTGTTGCATTATTAGAAAGCAATCTAAAAATAAATTATATTAAAATATTCATTAGCATTTGAAGAGACTAACAGTCGGGCAGAGATTGATGTATGTTGCTGCGGCCTAATGTTTCAAAACACTAACATGCTTACACATGCACATACAGTTTGATGTGGATGTGCCTTTCATTTTTTTTTTATTGGACCACATTACCTCTCTGTTTTTTTCTTTTCTTTTTTTTTGAGATATGAATTTTCTATTTTTACATTTTACGTACAAAATTCCTTTGTATTTATATTTTTATTTATATGTCTAACACCTAAAGTTTACTTTTAACATCTATGTCGTTTGAATCTATCATATCGCATAAAAAATATCATTGTATAAACTTTTAAAATGTAAAAGACATTTTTATGCATGAGTGAGAAGCAAATATGCAAAAATTGAAGTATAGGTTCTGGATATATAAATACATAGGAATTGTTAATCTTCTTTTCTTTTTCACTTTTCTGTATCTAGCACTCTTGTGGTGGAGCCCATTGAAGCATGCAAGAGTGTTTTGAGTGAGGTGGAGAGTTTGATGGTCAAGTTCATGTAGCAAGTTGATTAACATATTATGATGCATTGATTCTAATAAAAAAAGAGAATAATCTCTCTCTCTCTCTCTCTCTCTCTCTCTCTCTTAATAAAGTAAAGAATATATATATATATATATTTCAAAAGAATGGCCGGAGGCAACGATATGTGTTTCCGCCACCCTCATGCGCCTAAGCACTCAATCTCACACTCTAAGACAGATGCACTCAAACGAGCTCGAACCCGTGACCCCAGGGGACTCCTTACAGACAACGCAGTTGTCAACCAAAGAATCACTGCGCGTAGCATATATATATATATATATATATAAGCTAAAAAAGTTATGTCCAAAGTGGGCAATTGTCCCCTAAAAAAATATGATTTCTCTATATAACTAAATAGTAAAATCTAATAAATTTTTCCTTATTTATTTAAGGTAATTTAGTAATTTGACTCTCTGATATATTTTTTTGGCTCAATACTTTAACAGAAATAAAAATATTTTGTGATATAAAACATCCTAAGAAAATATATGTATAAAGGAGTGGAGGGAGAAAATGGCAAAGAGGCAGGTCGCTTTGTTTGATACTAGGATGTGTTCCTCTGAAGAATATATACCTTATCAACTTTCAATGGCCTCAAATTTTTCTCTCTATATTTTTTCTTATTCCCCAAAATCAACAACTCTTCTGTAATATTCGGAATTTATCTTTATGTTTATATATATATAATGATTTAGGGAATAATATTCTATTGCACAAAATTAAACATATTTTAACGTTCATGAAAATAAATTTGATTTCTGCTTTATGGTTTTGATTTTACTGTCTATAACAACACATTTTATTATTTTTATAAGCATAGGAAGCAGGAGGCCTCACATATGATTGTCCGCATCATAACTCAGATATGGGCCATGACAAAATTTTAAATCTTTATTTCTTTTGAGATGAATAAATAAATTGATTTATTAATCATATATTCTATCTATTTCTCTCAAAATAAATTCAAACTTGTTAAAATGCATTAAATGACTAAGTTTTCTTCCAAACCAAACTTGCAACGATTATTATATCATGCAAAGTCCAGAGTGTTTCATGAAGAAGATGCTTTGTTTGATTATTTTCACAACTAATTTTATTTTGTATTGTTGAGTGCCGGAAAATTTGTGACATTAGAGTGATGATTTAATGTCTAGATATTATACAAAGACCCAAGACATATATATATATATATATATATATATATATATATATATATAATAGAAAAACCCCACAAAGAAAAAACA